TATCAAATATTGAAGCAATTCTTCTGGTGACCTGACATGAAAAGGCAGTTCATGGAATTTTGTGAAAGTTGTGACACTTTGAGAGAGGTGCAAGTTGGAAAACATACCCTATCCAGGATTGCTGCAACCCTTACTTGTGCCTGAGCGAGCTTGGCAACATTTGTCTGTGGACTTCATCGAGGGTCTTCCAAAATCTGCAAGAAAGGAAGTAGTCCTGCTGGTAGTGGACAGATTCACAAAATATGGTCACTTTTCCCCATCGGCAGATCTAGAACACAGAAGAGTACTGGGCCACATTTCATTAGAAAATTGGAACCGTAAAAAAAACATAATGATTATAGTTTTTTGCAATGTAACTTGTACACAACTGTATTTTAATTTAGGGAATGCATCAATAATGAAGTTTACATCCATACCAGTAGTATACACTGTTTCAAATAAAATACTTGAACAATCGGCGAGAAATTCATCGCTCATTTTGTTGAGCAAATCAGTTCTCACATGTTTCATTGTTAAAAAGGTTCTCTTCGTAGTAGCTGTTGAAACGACAACATCAACACTAGATAAATCAATCGACTAATCAATTTACATTGTGTGTCCATCCCTGCACACCAGCTGCTTTAGTAAATTTGTAAGGGAACAACCCTCATATTTCTTTTAGTCTTTTACGTTTTTAACTTCTTAGAATTTTAGGTTTCATTGTTTTTTTAAGACGCATAATCTTTGGGGCTAAAATTTCTAGGCTAAATTTAGAATAGTGATTTGTATATGTTCAACTTGATAATTTTTCTAGTTAAACCCATTCTTATCATAGAATAACACTGGATTGAATGTCTAAAATCAAAAATTTCATAAGGACTATAGTAACTACAAATCTAGAGGAGGGTTGGGCCGGGACCTGGGTGGACACCCCTGGATCCGCCAGTGCTTTTCCCCTCCTTTTTCGAGCATTTTCAGCTTCTTCAATAGCTAAGGTATTAATTGATGGCTTCTTCAATTTACATGATTTACCTCAGACTATATTAAATGACAGATATACCCTTTTCACTAAAAATTTTGGACTATCATATTTGATCTACAAGGGGTCAAGCTACACTATACCACTGCATACCACCCACAAAAAGATGGGCAGACTAAAGTTAGCCAAAAACTAGCTCCTAAATTCTATGGGCCATTTCATATTGTAAAGAAGATTAGAGTTGTAGCTTATCACTTGTAGTTGCCTGTGGACTTAGTGATTCATGGTGTTTTCATGTCTCCCTATTGGAGAAGGCTATTGGAACTTAGCTAACCATTCAACCAACATTACCAGTCATGGATGATGCCCGTGAGTTGAAGATCGAACTAGTTACCATTATGATAAGGCAGTTTATTTCTGAAAACAACCAAGCAGCCACTCAAGTACTGTTTCAATGGTGTCAATCAGGCGGGTTCGGTTCAATCGAGTAACGGGCAGTGGTGGATCCAGGGGGTAGCCACCCCGGGCCACGGCCTAGCCCTTTTCTGGATCCGGAGCTAGTATAGTCTTTATAAGTTTATCGATTTTAGTCATTCGGCCAAGTGTTAATTTATAATAAGATTGTGTGTAATTAGGAAATTGGTAAGATGAACATATTCAAATCACAACTCTAAATTTAGCTTGAAAATTCTAGCTCTAATGATTCTCATCTAAAGAAAAACAAAATGAAACCTAAAATTCTAAAACGTAAAAGACTAAAAGAAATATGTGGTTTATTCCCTTAAGAAATTACTAGAGCAGCTGGTGAAAATAGGAATTGATACACAATATATATTGATTAGTCGATTGATTTGTCTAGTGTTGACATTGCTCGTTTCAACAACTACTATGGATATAACCTTTTCAACAATGAAATAGGTGAAAAATTATGTGTGCAACAAAATGAGCGATGAATTTCTCGCCAATTGGTTTAACTATTTTATCGACGTGTACAATTGATATTGTAAAAAACACTGATTTTTTTACGGTATCTAATTTTCTAATGAAATTCGGTCCAGTGCTCTACTGTGTCTTGGATCCGCCGCTGGTTACGGGTTAGTTGAGTTTCGGGATCATCGGTTTTCGGGTTTATCAATTCGAGTTCATCAGATTTTGGGTTCATCGGTTCGGGTTCAATCGTGTTGCGAGTTAGTCGGGTTACAGGTTCATCGGATTACGAGTCAGTCGGGTTGGGGGTTCATTAGGTTACGGGTCAATCAGGTTATGAAGCGATCGGGTTATGGGTCGATCGAGTTACGGACAGGTCTGGTTACGGGTTGTTCGAATCAGCGCATTGTGTTTCTTACTCTTTACTCGATACAACTTACCTCTTGTTTATTACACTAATTTCAAAAAAATTTGCTCAATTTTTAGACAAATTGTTTCTACCTCGTATTGATATATGTACTTATAAAAGTTTTTTTTGGTAAAAGTACTTATAAAAGCTTAAAAAACTTGTCAAAGTGCAACATTAATTTTGTATTACTTTAGATTATTGAGTTATTGCAATCGTATGATTTAACTAACCAAGATTAACCCTCATTTTAAAATAAAAATTCAACTCAAACACAACTTAAATGTGTTAAAGATTTACTCAGTGTTATAAACTAACGATCATGTAGAGTTGAAGTTGCAATTAAGGTAGAAGAATAGAAAACAAGTAGACATATTAAGTGAATTTTTCTGAAACAAATGTTTGTTGTAACTAATGGTTAATTTAATTACTAAACCATAAACAATTACATATATATATTAGGACTTTGCTACGGTGACATGCACTTTTTGGTCGACCTCATATAGGATTAGGTCGACCTAATCTGTTGTTTCAGTGTAAAAACAGTTTCATGATGCCTACTTTGGAGATTCATATCTTACAATTGGCTCGATGAAAATTGGAGATTAAAGGCTTGTTTTGAAGCTGAAGTGTCCATGTACACATTAAAGTACTTGGGAGCTCAATAGAAAGTCAAGAAGACCATTTTTGAACCTGACCAAAAGGCTATGCCAAAACTAGGAAACTGCCTGAAAATGGCTAAGTCTGGCAACATGTTTGTCAAGCCTACTTTGGAGCTCAATTTGAGTTCTTGGATGCGAGTCAAGTCCAGGGGCCTCTACCACGTTAAATTATGTATTTTATTATACAAGTTGCAACGAAGGCTGTTTTTCTGGCAGCTTGCTTGTGCTCGAAGTCTGCCAGAAAAACAGCCTTCGTAGGAACTTCGACCCTTTTATTTGAAGCCTTACAGATATCCAATCTTTCATCCAATGCCTTGAATTTGTATAAAAACATACCTAATTTAACGTGGCAGAGGCTCATAGACTCGACTCGCATTCATGCTTCTCGAATTGAGTTCCAAAATAGGCTTCACAAACACGTTTCCAGACTTGGCCATTTCCAGGCAGTTTCCCAGTTTTGGCATAGCCTTTTGATGAGATTCAAAAATGGTCTTCTGGACTTCCTATCGAGCTCTCTTCCACTTCAATATGTAGAGGGACACTCCAGCTTCAAAACAAGTCATTAGTGTTTAATTTCCATCTAGCCAATTGTATGATATGAATATCCAAAGTAGGCACCATGAACTATTTTTACACTGAAACAACAGATTAGGTCGACCTGATCCTATATGAGGTCGACCGAATCCTAAACGAAGTCGACCAGATCCTATATGAGGTCGACCAGATCCTATATGAGGTCGACCAGATCCTATATGAGGTCGACCGAATTCTAAATGAGGTCGACCTAATCCTAACTGAGGTCGACCGGAAAGTGTAAGTCACCGTGACATGCATGTCACCGTAGGCACACCCTATTATATAGCTCCATACCCTAAATATAGTCAAACTAATTAGTTCATATAGTAAAATATAAGTGCGTTATTAATTATTCATTTTCAATACCAATATTGTGCTAATTTTATATTCCGTATTTAGTTTTTTAATTTTATTAAGGAACTTAGTGTTCAAGTGACCTTCATGTCTTAATTTTTGTAATTTTATTAAAAATACATAAATAAAAGTTTATTTTGAAAAACTATGAATTATATAATTAATAATTATTCAAGTGGATTGGGTTGAGTTTGGGTTGAGTCGGTTGGGTCACAGTTTAGTCAGGCTCGGGTCAATCGGGCCGGGTTAATTGGGTTACGAGTTTAATCGGGTTGCGGGTCAATCGAGTTTAGGTTAATCGGTTGTGTGTCAATCGAGTTGCATGATCGGGCTACGAATCAATCGGGTTGCGGGTCGGGCGGGTTACGGGTTGTTGACTTATAGTTAATTCGGGTTGCGGGTCGGGTTGATCGGACGGGTTAGTCGGATTTGGTTCAGTTTTGACACCTCTAGTTGGGGGAGAGAGAGAGAAGAGGATAGATTAAAATAATTTTTAATGTTTTTGTATTTATGCAAAATCCGAAAATTGGTAATTTGTGGAAATTGTGAATATTTAAAGTTAGTTTATGCTTATTACTTATTAGGCAGTGACATGATGGTTTGAGGCGTTGAGCGTTAGCCCCGTCCAACATAACGGTCAACAGTTGGCTTTAGTCAAATAAGTTTTTTTGTGATACTTTTGGTGAACATATTAATTGGTGAAAATATTGGCCAAGATGTTAAAGAAGGGTAAAGTTTAGGGCACTTGAAAATATTAACTATATTAAATAATATTATATGAATTGGTTAAAAATTATGAAATGAATTATATAACACCAACATAATATAGAAATATGAGATCAATTAAGCGATGAAAGTTGACTATTTTTTTCCATTAACCGCGTGCATCACATATAACATAAAAACATTAAGATATTCAAGTTATAAATTATTTAGAGTTAATTAAGGGTTCAACCATTTAGAGCGGATTGATGTGCCAACTTGAGCAGAACTCATTAGCTCCGTAACGAGTCAAGCTTAAATTTCGGTAAAACTCGGCCTATGTCGGCTCGTGAAGAAATAAATCCAGCTCAAATTCAGCAAATATGAACACGACTCGACTCGGCTCATTTGCATTCCATTCAATTACATCCTGGTCAAAAAAGAAAGGAGAAAATGCACATCATATAGAAAAAAAAAATTTCATACCCCTCGAGCAAACATAATAAAACCCACAATTTTAAAAGGCTTAATAGAGATCAAAAGAGCATCAATGTACTAGAAAGATATTCATAGGTTGCTCAATTACTTGGTGGAAGCCAACAATCATAACTTCCGTTGTAGGCACTTCGTAACCGCTCGTAGTCTGGAATTGTGCTAGGCCAGAAAATGACTTTAGGTTGTTGCAGCAGTTCCTCGTCTTGATGATAAGCAGAACCCTCCGACTTTTTATCCTGATAACCGAGGAACTCCAACTCCATCTTCTCAAAATCACAGGACAAATTAGCAAACGATTTACTACGAGGATGACAGCACCGCATAAACACAATTTCGGATCTCTCCGGATGCAAACCGATTACTCCATCAAGCCGCCATCCCAAGGCCTCCGTCTCGCAACTCGCTCCGATGCACCTTAAATTCTCCACACATACGACTTCATGTAGTCTCTTCCAATCCGTTCTTCCTTTATGTTGCTCCACCCTCCAAACACTCAAACGCTGCCAGTCAAACCATCTGCTTTGGCGGTGAATTACGTGCACACAGCCGTTTGAGGCCCAAGGGCCGTAGTAGTCATCCCAATGATAGTCGGACTGGTAAGTTGGATCAGGGCAATGTATTAATGTTGGAAGAGTGGTATGGTCTAGGCAGAAAGGATCCAACTTAGCAACTCTGCCCCGGCTATTCAACCAGTACAATTTGTCATTGAGCGAGAGCACCCGTTTACGGCCGTGATCTATACAGCACCTTAAATCCTCGTGAACAGGGAGAACCAATTTCGTCCATCTGCCAGATCTGGAACAGAACACCTCTACTGGCATTGTATCAGCTGATTTCCACAATTTGTACATTCGTACCACCCGGAATCGACGGTACCCAAAATGACAGGGGAACAGAGCTTCACCATCGCGGACAAAATCTGGAGCAGGGGGGTTACTGCAGGGCTGACACACTAATTTCACAATCGAGCTACAACGCGCCGACTCTTTAGGCGCTAAAGGGAGGGCGACCCATTGCTTGGTGAACGGATTGCAGACCAGGTACGTTGTGTGCAATTGGTCGCCGATTTTCCCCTGAGGGAAACCGAGTAAGAGCAAGTCCTTGGCTGAATCGAGGACGGCGAACTTGGATTCGATGTGGCTAGGCAAGGGGAGGAAGCTCAGGATCAATTCACGGAGCTCGGAGGGAGTCAGAGGAGGGGGTTTGGGTTCGCCGGCGACGGATATGGGGTGGCGGGAAAGGAATCGGGGGACGAAGTAGGGAGCGGGGATTAGGGAGTTCCACAACTTGCAGACGGGTTTGCATCGGACGGCGGATCTAGGGTCCGGGAGCCGAATAAGCACTTCCAAGAGGAGATCGACATCAAGTTTGCTGAACGGAGAGGAGGTGGAGGTAATTGGTTTCCTTTTGCGGTGGTAAACCTGGGTCGCCATTGCTAGCTGCGAGTAGACGAGGAGGCGGAGTTATGGGAACAAAAGCAGAGCCGGTCGCCGGAGTGAGACAGCAGTCCGCTCTCCGCTGTAATTAAAGGGCGATTGGCGGCTGCCTCTTTACCTTTTCCGAGTCGGAAAATCGTTTGGAACTTTGGGCCCAGACGTTGGGGTAATTAGTTAGTGGGTTATATCTTTATTACTTCGGTTTTTTTGCTTTTTAGACTTTCGGGCCTGGCCCAACTCTATTGTCATTTGATTTCCCCACCCTTACGTATACCGATTATTTATCCGTCGTGGAGTAACCTTGGCCCAATTGGACGGTTTAAACGCTTTATTTATTTATTATTGTCAGTTCTCGATGATTGCCGGCTTACCGACCAGGCCAGTCCATAAATAAACTTTATAAAATCATAAACTTGTCCGAATTTATAAAATACATCGGCTACCATTAAAATTGGAGAATTATGACAGACATATCACTTAAATTTAAATAGGGCGTCGGATACCATTAAAGTCATCAAAATATGCATCCGTCTAGTTTTCCATCCAACCTAAAATTTTAATTAATTTTTGGTACCCAAAATTTTTAAAAACATCCAAAACTATATTTCAACAAGTTTTTATGCAATATAAAAAATTAAAAAACCTTCTAAACATAATATTACTAAAATGACTAATCAAAATTGTCAATAAAATAGATAAGGTAGTAAAAATAATAAACAAATATCAAGAAGGAATAAATATATAGAATATAATAATAAATATTTAAAATTAATATTAGAAGATCTATTTAAATCTCTAATCCGATAAGAAGTACCATTAAAAATAGTTAAAATAGAATCTAACCGATCATCAATACATCAAGACCAAAGAACGATAAATGGAACATAGTCAGAAAGAATTAAACATATTACAGTAATTGAAGAAAATTTAGAACGAAAAAAGAACGAAAGTAACCAAGAAACTTATACAACATCCAAATGATGTACGAGAATTAAATATAACATCCTCAGATTATTTTTATCGATATAGAATTCATAGGATATATTTTATTAAGAAAATTATTCAATTATTATAACACATAATGGTAATTTAAAGTACATAATGATAATTGATTCTACATTTTCTATTCAAAAATTGGTTTGGTATCAAAATCTTTAAAAAAAAAAAAGAGAATAATTCAGTTATTAGAAAACATAATAATAATTGAAAGTACTTATAATAATAATTCATTTTCTATTTTCTATTTAAAAATTAATTTGGTATCAAGTTTTCAAAAGAGGATACCAATTAAATAATAAAAATTGATGTTTTTCTTAAGTCAAAGGATTTTTTACAATAGGAAAAGTAGACAGATCAATTAAGAAATTTAGTTAACATAATGAACTTAACATTAAAATTAAGTGGTACCGGGTGCACAAACAATAGTGTTCAGTGGTACCCGACGTCCTATTCAAACTTAAGTGGTATGTCTGTCCCAATTCTGAAACTTAAATGGTACCCGAGGTATTTTACCCGCTTATTCAAAAGTTAAAAGCTAGCTTATTAGATATTCTATAGGGGAGCGGATACTATAACACCCCCTTAGTGTTGTTATTGTAACAACAAGATTCATTAAGGGTAAAAGAATAAATTACATAATATAATAATAATAATAATAATAATAAAATATTTTCAATTAAAATTCAAAGCCTACCCTCTAAACCAGCGGCCAGAGCGTCTTCTGCGCTGTCCTCCAATTCCCTGTCGGCGACGCCCCTCCCCACATCCACCCTCGCGCCCCCGAGCTCCGAAGACCTCCCCTGCCGTCTTCGAGACTTGGATTCCATGATCCGGTCAGAAATCGTTCAGGTCATAGCTAGAGGTGGACATCGATCCGGTCCGGACCGGATGAGACCAAACTCAGGAGAACCACGATTTAATAGTGAAAGATATTTTAGGACCAAGGATCGGACCAATAGTGTATTCAGTCTGCTTTGATCCATTTGGTCCGGTCCAAACGTAACTTTGGTTCATTTTTCTTCAATATTTTTAAAATTCATAGGATCAAGGACCGAACCATATTATATTCGATTCAGTGCGGTCCGGTATGGGCCAACCCATTGCCCACCCCTAGTCATAGTCATGTCATCTCAGATCGCAACCTTATGAGTGGAGTCGTTATGTGTGGCGGCGGTGATTAAGGCAATCCTTGCGCTGGAAACTTATATCTCTTTCCCGCCGTCGCCTATCTCCTAGCCACTGTCGCCCCTCCAAATCACTCAATGGAGGGAATCCGCTCCGTCGTCGAGGAATCTGTTCTTTGTCATATGGTTGTGGAAAAACTCTCGCAGAAACTGCGTCGTCGGGAAATGCCATGAGCTATCTGAAGCTTGTCCGAGTATGACATGCCATGAGACTGCTGAGATTAGAGAAGTCAGACTCTCTATCGATTGGGCTTTTCTTGATGAACCTTTTATTCAACTTCAATCAAATCAATTTTTCGTCACACGCCCTGATTTCTAACCCAACTTCCACCTCTCATCTCAAACCTCATTTGCTGGGCAAGTCGCCGGCTCTAAAATAAATTGTGGGTTCTTGTTCCATATAAATACGTACTCTAGTTCCATGGATTCAAGTGGCATTACTTTATTGTTTGCGGTGTTGCTCCACTTTAAAGGGTTAAATGCATGGTTGGTCACTGAGTTTATAAAAAACGTTCATGTTTGGTCACTGAAAATATTTAAATCCAATTTAGGTCACTCAAAATTCATGCTAGACTGATATTAAATTCGCGATTTTTGAACGTTTTGTAGAAAATTCGCGTTTTTGTGAACTAGCGCCGGAGCGCGGGAGCAATTTACACTAATTAGTTAACCTAAGGAAGGTGGCTGGGGCCGCCTGGCGGTGAGGAACCCTAGCTTGGCCAGGGCGTAGTGGACGGCGTCGATCTAGGCATAAAGCATGTTGTCTTAGTGGAGATTGGAGGCAAGGTCGACCACTCCCTGATAGGGGTGAACAAACACACCCGCAAACCGACCCACCTGTCCATTCCGATTCAGCCCACCCGTATTTATCGCTAAAATGAAGGTTTTGGGTTGGGTGAGTACTTTCTTTGGTACAACCTGCCTCTTTTGGGAAGGGTTTGGATTTTGGATTACACAACCCGTAGAACCCGACCCAGCCCGTGTTCCCATTATTGGTATGAGTTCGTACCCAAAAAAATATTATGTCGTATATAGCCATACTTATGAGAAAATTAAGATATTTCGCCATGTTTTTCTCTCATGGTCTCCCTAATCTAATGCATTCTTTGGCTTAAAGTTAAAAAAAAAGTTCATACATAAATTTAATATAGCTATGATTCACGTAATCCTTTTTCTTGTGTACAATTTTAATAGAATAACATTAACATATTATGTATGTGTTCATTTATAACCGTTTTAGCCTAGTTCAACAAATGTCGTGAAAAAAACTAGACATAAGTTGAAGTAATTCAAATTTTATTAAAATACAAACAACATTTGTGAATTTTGATACCTTTCACCTCGGTTTATTCATTTGAATTTTTAATTAGTTTTAAAATATTTTTGTGGTGTAGAATAATTACATATTTTATGTTGGGTTGGATTTTTACATAAAATATCGCCAACCCAACCCAACCCAATTAGAAACAAATCGTAGGGTTTACATTTTTTTGGGTGGGTTTGGATCTAAAATTTCCCAAACCATAGTGCATGGGTCGGATGATTAAAATGTCTAAACCCGGACCACCTGACCCATGTACACCCCTACTCCCTGATTGGGCTGGAACAAGATGAAATCGAGAGACCTAATTAGGACTGGCCTTGTAAGCGAAGTAAGGGTAGGCGTTGATTAAGAAGGGGGGAAAGGTGTTGGTACTGAAATGGAGGATCTGGGTGAGACATCTGGTTAGATCTTGGCGTAACGCGTCGGAGGAAGGTGGCTAGGAGAATTGAAGGATGGCGGGGTAGTGATGGTCGGTCAGCATTGCCATCCCTGTTTCGGTTAGAAGAGGTGGAAAATATAAAAATTAAATTGATTTTATTATTTTTTAATTGACATGTCACACATTAAAAAGTCAACTATAAAAATTGAATGCCACATAAGCAAAAGTTAACGGAGCGGACGGAAAGTGACTAAACTTGAACCATTTAACAAATTTGAGTGACCAAAATTGGATTTAAATATTTTTAATGACCAAACATAAACGTTGTTTTGTAATCTCAGTGACCAAGTATGCAATTAACCGCACTTTAATAGATACAAAGTGGTAGAGATGGCTGAGGCTTATATGATGCCTTTTCAAGTTGGTCTTTGGTGCCAGGGACAAGCCAATAACGCCTGAGATGGCTGAGGCTTATTTGGTACCTTTTTCTAGTATGTATGATTTGCATTTTATGGTATCAGAAAGTAAACAAAAAAATTTAGAAACATTTATAAAGCACATCGTAAACTTTCTAATACAAATCACAAATCTTTTAAAGCCTACCAGAAACATCATAAAAGCGAAATATAAATATTCTCAAGCACACCAAACACCTTATAATGCATACCACAGATCTCCTAAAACATAACAAAAACTTCACAAAGTATACCACAAATATTTCATAAGCGCTCCAGAAATCTCCTAATGTAAACCAGAAACATGGTAAAAAAAAACCACAAAAGCATACTAGAAACCTCCCCATGCATATCATAAATCACCTAAAACAAACCACAAATATTTCATAACCACACCAAAAACCTCCAAATACAAATCACAAACACGGTAAAGCAAACCACAAAAAATAAAGCCAGAAACGTTGTAATGCAGACCATAAATATATTAAAACAAACCCGAAACACAACAAAGCAAACCACAAAGTGTTGAAATCATACCAGAAACTTCTTAATGAAACCATAAACACGATAAAGCAAACTACAAAAGGCAAACAAAAAACACGAGAAATCAAATCATAAATCTCACAATGCATAACATAATATCCGGTGGTCGTTGCCCGATCAACAAAGAGCAAGCCCCGATGGCTGTCATTGGTCAGATTCCGGCGCTGATAAGCATATTCCGGCCCCAATGACTAGATTCCTACCCCGGTAAATATATTATGACCACAGTGAACGGATTTCGGCGACTCTAAGTATATTCCGACGACATTAAGCATATTCTGACAACTGTGGGAGGATTTCGTCAACAAATAGCATATTTCGATGACCGACGACTGGATTCCGGCGACGAAATGTAGGGCAGTAAATAAATTGTCTATAAAATACAGTCTATGGTTTGGCCCTATATAGATGATCATGGATAGCTTTTGACCAAGTATTTGGTTGGCTGTCAATATCATGGTCAACTCTTTTCATCGTAACGTTTTATTGACACTTGCTAATGTGGATATCACATATTTGTTAAACATAGTTAGTAGAAGTTTGTAATATTCCATAAATTTAAGTGGTACCAAATTTAACAGTTGGCAATTAAAGTCTTTTTATTTTCTTTAATGTTTTGTATTGGCTTTTATCTTCTTCGTTCTAACTCGGATTTCATTTTTTTAAAAGATGGAACATGTTCGTTGTGTTCTACAAAATAATATCTATTTTCGATATACTTCGAGAAAAAAGTGAACTGGGAGGGGAGGATAGGTCGACTTAAGGTGTTGGTAGGTGGACTGTCGAGAGAGCATGACCCAAATGCTGATGAAGAATCAGAGAAGCAAATTAATTAATGTGCTAGCTCCAAGTAGGGATGAAAATTTGTGGAAATTGTGAATATTTTAAGTCAGTTAATCCTGACTAGGCGGTGATATGGTGGGTTAATTGACAATTAGGCAACGATTTTGATAGTCCAACATGACGGTCAACACTTGGCTTTGGCCAATTAAGTAATTATTTGTGACATTGTTTGCTACGATATTAATTATTGAACAGATTAGCCAGGATGTTAAAGAATGAAAAAGTTCATGTCATATGGAAGTATTAACTCTATTAAATAATATTATATGAATTGACTAAAAACTATGAACTGAATTATATTACACCAAGATAGTATATAAACATGGGATCAATTAGTGATGAAAGTTGACTATTATTCTTTTTTTTTTCATTAACCACGTGTATTATATATGACAGAAAAATATTAGGTTATTCAATTCATAAATTATTTAGTTTAATTTAAGTGTTCTACTAGTTAGACTTATAAATGAGTTGAGCTCGTGAGCTGATTGATGTGCCGAACTAGAGTAGAGCCCATGAGCTCCTTAGCGAGTCAAGCTCTAGTTTGGTCAAAACTCAGCCCAGCTCTGCTCGTTAAGAAACAAGTCGAGCTCATTTGCAGCTCTAGGTCCATCCACTCAATTACATTCCATTCAAATTAATAAAGAAAGGTGAAAAATGCCCATCATATAGAAAAAAAATAAATTGTCATACCCCACAATCAAACATAATAAAACCCAAAATTTTAAAAGGCTTAATAGAGATAAAAAAAAAAAAGTGTCAATGCACTACAAAGATCATTGGCTTTTACTCATATTCATAAACTGCTTAATTACTTGGTGAAAGCCAACAATCACAACTTCCGTTATAAGTACCTCGTAATCGTTCGTAGTCTGGAATTGTGCTAGGCCAGAAAGTTCCTTTAGATTGAAGCAGCTCCTCAACTTTGCGAACAAAAAGCAGAGCCGGTCGCCGGAGTGAGACCGGAGTCCTCTGTAATTAAAGGGTGACTAGCTTTCACCCTTCCCTTTGGGCAGGTAATCATATTTTTTATAATAATTTTATAATTTTCCCTTATAAAAAATAATTTTATAATTTTTACTAATTAGATGATAGTATGATATAATTTTTGTTCTTGATTATAATTAAGGATTGTAAAACTGTATTATAGGTTGTACCAAAAAAGTCAACAATTTGATATTTTATGCTAAAATTATGACTTAACCGTGGTTCAACCATTTCATACTTCTAAATACCGCCTATCAATCTAGTATCTGTTATGAAGTTTTTCTAGTCGAACCATTGGTACAAGTATATAATATAGTTTTTCTTTAGAACATTGTGAAGAAGATTCCAATCATTGATTCCATTGAATTTAGGAATGAAAGAATAACCTCTTCATAATCTATGAACATAGTTTAAAGAGCTTTTGTAATCATATTTTTGTTGCGAAAAGTTCAAGTGGTTCATGCTTTTATAACTTTATACTACAAAACTGGTACAAACAATAATCAGAAATTTTAATTGTTTCTGATCAGTTAAAAAAGATCCGGAGAGGGGCTTTTAAATAATGAGGGGATTCTTCCGAAAAAATGGCATCTTCTTTTTGAATGTAAGAAATTAAACTCTTGAATTCCAAATGGGGAGATTTTTTAATATAAAAATATTCGAAAGTAAAGGGAAAAGATAACCACCGTGCATAAAAAGAAAAAAAGAAAAAAAAGATAACCACCGTTCGTTAGGGAAAAAAGATAACCACCACAATCTGACGTGGATCAAGCAAAATGCAGGGGAGCTTACGTGGCCAAGGCCATTTTCTCAAAATGCTTTAATATATTTTAAGATAAGATTTAAGATTGGAGCCTGCTTTTTTGCCTTCTCCTAATCGGAATATCATTTGGGACTTTGGGCCCGGTCTGCGGTAATTTGATAGTGGTTTATGGGCTAAATTACAGGTTTGGTCACTCAAATTATACAAATCTTTCACATTTGGTACTCGAATTGCTTTTCTTTCTTATTCGCCACTAACTTTACGAATCGTTTCACATTAGTCACCGGCCGTTACACTCCGTTAAAATTATCCTACGTGGCAGTCAACTATAAAGTTTGACCTTTAACTTGATGACGTGGAAATTAAAAAATAAAAAAATTTGAATTTATTTTTCCACCTCATCACCCCCACTTAGTTTGTTAAACGCACGGAAGCACCTGGCTGCTCCTTCCTCTCTTCGATTTCGATCCCGCCACTGCCGGCTGCCGCCTCCGTCCTCATCTCATTCTTGTCCCAGTACAAATCCACCACCCAACACTTGTTCCTTCTCTTCCTCTTTGTCCCCCGCAACGCAATTCGTCCACCGCCGCTTCCCATAATCGACGGCGAATGAGGCTCTGACTCGTCGTCTGTCTCCTCCGCGGCAGTCGTCGGCATCTCGTTCAGATCCCAACTGGTCGACGACAACAATCGTCACCGGAAGCAAGCTCCGCAACTTGATTCATTCTCATTCATCATAAGCCTTATATAGGCTGATCAAACACAAGAAGATAGCAATGCTTTTACATGGTTTGTCCCTTAGCTTGGAACGGAAACAAGCTCTGTCTTGAGCAAAAAGAAAATGGACAGCAAACTTGGAAACAGAGTGAAACGACAGCGAAGTGGTAAGTGAGGAACCAAAGAGTAAAACGGCGTCGGGCAAGTCTTCATCTCTAACAATTGGGGACGCCCGTTGCAATTTAAACTTTTAGGGATTGAAATCCTGTTACCCCCCGCAAGCTGGCGGGCAGAGATCGTGGACGCCAAGCTTGGAGACAAGTTGAAGAAATGGCGATGGAGACAGAGGTTTCGTGAAGAGATCAGCCAGCTGATGGGAAGAAGAGACATGGAGGAGTTTAAGCACCTTGGATTGAAGTTTCTCACAGACGAGGTGATAGTCCAGCTCGATATGTTTGGTTCTTTCATGAAAGGTAGGGTTTTCTGCGACATAAATCGCACTTTGATTATCGCAATAAATGTTTGCTGGCTGAGAATGATCCACCTTGAAGTCTTGCAGGAGGTACAACAACCATTGGACTTCACAGGCGGTGAAGGCAAGAGCTTGGTATTCAGCTTCACAGGAAGAGCGGGAGACAGTCTGTTGCTTTTTACTCTTCCAGGAGATGAGGGAATTTCCCAGATACACACAAAAACCAGTGATGGAGCGGCGAGTGTCAACACAAGCAGCCCAGTCGGAATCCGAGAATGCTTTGAGTTGGAAATTACCCTGAACTGGGAAGAAAATGCCTGTGGAAGGAGCAGATTTCAGGTACCTGATAATACGAAGTACTGCTTTGTAGTGAACTTGACTAGGAGAACCCATGTATTGGCTGACTTGTTGTGTGGCAAAACTGATATCAGGCCTAGTAGTAGTCAGGTAGATGAGTTTGCCCACAAGGGTTTTGTAGTCTTCAGGATTCTCATAGGGAATATCATAAGCAGTAGATAGATGTGCCTTGTAATCCATTGGAGTGGAGACAGTCTTTGAATCAATTAATCTTGCTTCTTCAATAATTTCCAGTGCATATTTCCTTTGTGAAAGATGAATGCCTTGTTTGTTCCTTGCAACTTCCATACCAAGAAAAAACCTTAGAGTACCCAAATCCTTTATATTGAACTCTGTATGAAGAAGAGCCTTGAGATGCTCAATGGCAGTAATATCATTACCACCAACAACCAAATCATCGACATAAATGAGAACACAGGTGTATAAGGAGTTTATAGAAAAGGGAGTGATCTGCCTTACTTTGAGATTAACCCAGTAGTTGCAGTTTGTCATTGAGCTTGCTGAACCATTGTCGAGAAGCCTGTTTGAGTCCATAAAGGGACTTTTTAAGGCAACAAACAGGATTGGTGAAACCAGGGGGTGGTTCATAGCCCTTACCTGAGTCATATAAACTTCCTCCTGGAGATCACCATGGAGGAAGGCATTATTCACATCTAGTTGGTGAATATGCCAGTTCCTCATAGCTGCCACAGCTAAGAAGGTTCTGAATGTTGTCATCTTAACTACTGGGGAAAATGTGTCCTGAAAATCCACTCCTTCCTGTTGAGTATGGCCTTTGGCCACAACTTTGGTTTTAAAACGTTGAAGAGACCCATCTTGATGAACCTTAATCTTGTAAACCCATTTGTTACCAATGGTTTTCTTCCCAGGTGGTAATTCCACCACATCCCATGTTTGATTCTTTATAAGTGCAGCAAGTTCTGACTTCATGGCAGCATTCCAGTAGTCTGATAGGCAAGCCTCTTTATATGAATTTAGTTCCTGGTAGGAAGAGATGGCAAGAACAAAATTTCTGTGATAGATTGATCACCTTGCTTTAAAGTGGAAAGGGCCTTTTCAAGCTCAGCCACTCGAACAATGTCCCCAGATCCATACCTGGTCTGAAGACTTTTCCAAGCTTCTGCACCAGACTTACTAGACAAGATGGTTTTCCTGATTTCTGACTCAACAGCTTGCTGGATCCAGCTCAAGATCATGACATTGTTGTGTACCCAGGCTCCTCTTCGTGGATCTGTCTCTGCAGGCTCAGGAACAGCACCATTGATGAAGCCCAATTTGTTTTTGGCGGCTAAGGCATTCAACATTGCCCTGCTCCAGTCGTTATAATTGGTTGTAGTGAGCTTTTCACCCACAAGAAGAGAACCAGGTTGCTCAGAACCATGAAGGAAGTAAGGATCTTCCATAGGGTAGACATTTTGTGGAAGGGGATCATATTGGGTTTGGTTGTTGAGAACATCATCTTGGTTGGCTCCTGTGGAGGCCATTTGAGTGACGGCGGCTAGGGTTTAGGCTCTGATACCATAACAAAGGATAGAGGAGATTAAAACCCTAAACTTGATTCATTCTCATTCATCATAAGCCTTATATAGGCTGATCAAACACAAGAAGACAGCAATGCTTTTACATGGTTTGTCCCTTAGCTTGGAACGGAAACAAGCTCTATCTTGAGCAAAAAGAAAATGGAGAGCAAACTTGGAAACAGAGTGAAACGACAGCGAAGTGGTAAGTGAGGAACCAAAGAGTAAAACGGCGTCGGACAAGTCTTCATCTCTAACAATTGGGGACGACCGTTGCAATTTAAACTTTTAGTGATTGAAATCCTGTTATTCTGTAGTTCTTTCCCTTCCTCCCCGCCTCCTTTTTTGTCGCCGTCTTTGTCACCAATTCTGTTAATGCCGATCCCTCTGCTTTCGTTGATTCACAGATTCATAGCTTTTATAGCCTCTACTGGCGGAGAAAAATCACCGTCGTCGCCGTCCTTATTGCTAATTGGATCGAACTCACCCTCAGAGCTCTTTCGATCAACAACCGCCGTTGAATCACCACTACCAGCACTCACCGCCTCGTTTACCTTTCCCCCACCGCCTAATAAGCAAGGATTGAATTCCCTATTCAAATCAATACCCAACCCACGGTTTACACGAGACAGATTCGTTTCTGATTCTACCTCAGGACTCACCGCCGAGGACGACGAGGATCCTTGATTCGAAGAGGCCGTAGTTTCTCCCGCCGCCGGTGGCGGTCAAAAAAGAAAGAAACTTGACGATTTGGAGAGGAATCACGTACATGATCCCAAAATCGATACAACGCCATGAAAAATGAGAGAAATCGCCTCTGTTTTCTTTCTGCTCGCTCTCTGTTTCCGCCGCGCTCTGTATTTTCTTCTTCCCGTCCCGTTTCTTTCTTTCTTTTTCGTTGTCTGTCTTTTTGACGACTTTTGACCTTTAATTGCCTTCCTTTGGTTCCCTTCCTAGAAGTTGCCTTCTTCTGTTGCCTTGGAAATATTCCGGTTGCAAGTGATGCCGTCTAGGAGAGCTGAGACTGTCGGTGGCAGGGGGAAGGAATTGATAAGAGAGAATACGTAATTAGTGACGGAGAGCGGTGCGGTTGCTTGTGGAAGTGGTGCTGGAGATCTGAGACACTGATAGATCTTTGTTTTCGGGCAGAATCCGCTCCTCGAATCGATTGGCGACGAAGCGTTAGAGTTTCGCGACATCGGGGAAAGGCATTCTGGAAATGGAGCGAGTAATTGATTCTTTAGCCGGCGAAATGCACGAAGTGTCCTAGCAGAAGATGAAAAGCCGCCGTGGCAGAGACTGGTACCAATTTGTCGTCTCGATTGCTTTTGTCCTCATCGTCGTAACGCGTAAGTTTAGGCAATATTTTTGTCGACGAGAACGGAGGACGTTGCTGAAACTCATTATCGTCGTATCGACCGTCAATAACTCTGAGAACATGGACCAGGCGGTGATACCTTGCCTCTGCAATTTCTTCCTGCCGTTGATAAGTAATTTTTATAATTTGTTTTTTATTAAATAATTCATATAATAAATCAGACAAATTAAGTGAAATGATGAGGTGGAAAATAATTTTTTTTCATTTTTTAATTTCCACGTTATCGAGTTAACAGTCAAACTTTATGGTTGACTGCCACGTAGGATAAATTTAACGAAGTGTAACGGCCGGTGACTAACGTGAAACGATTCGTAAAGTTAGTGGCGAATAAGAAAGAAAAGCAATTCGAGTGGCAAATGTGAAAGATTTGTATAATTTGAGTGATCAAACGTGTAATTTAGCCGTGGTTTATGTCTTTGTTGAGCTTTCGGGCCTGGCCCAACTCTTGTGTTATACCTCTTGGCTTACCTTCTACCGTCCATATATAAGACTTTAAAATGTCAGAAACTTGTCAGAGAAGCATATACGGCATAAGCTAAAAACTAACAATAAGTTAAAAAGCTTACATAGATGGCCTTCAGCGAGAGTCGCCGGAAATGGATCAATCCGCCGGCCACCGGCACCGATACAAAATTCACCCCTGCCGTAATAAATAAACCCTTTCTACGCCCTCCAACTACGACTGCCGATGTGACGCGTCCCTACATGGGAAATGATCCTTGAAAATTTCGCGTTAGTCTAGTCTTGACACCTAAAATTAATTTGACATGAATTAAATACCGCATTAATTTGCCTGGGCATTTAATTCGATACCGCGGGTAAAAAAGCGGTGTCGTTTGGAGTTGAGCGGCATCGCGGAGAATTAAAACGGTACCGCGAAACAGAAAAACGGTACCGCAAGGAAGCTCAGCGGTGCCGCGACACTGAAAACGATACCGAAAAACAAAAGGGGGCCGCGCGTGGAGAAGGGAGTTTTTTCTAATTAATTATTACCTTTATTTCTTGTCGGAAGGGGAAAATCGGTACCGCATGGAGACAAGCGGCATCGCGGAGAGTTAAAACGGTACCGCGAATTTAAAAACGATGTCACGAGAGCCTGATAAGCGGTACCGATTAATTAAAAACCATACCGGGTACCAAAATTCTCCCAGCCCAATGTGAGTGCGTACCGACGGCGGTTCCATGGATTGATATTTTTTGGCTATGTTAGCGGTGTCTTTTAATTAAAAGACGGTACCGCG